CAGCCTCTAAACTGTCTGAAAATCAGACCCTGCTGTGACTGTCTTTAAAACCATCATTAGCGTTTTCTAAATGCTGTGATATTTTGACTCAAATGGCAAATCAGAGCACTTTCAAGACTTTCCCCAAAAAAATACAGGACACGAAATGAAGGATCTGATAATTGTTGCTCAGCATATTTGGGGGAATTCATAACAACCACAGAGCCATTTAATTAATTCTAAATTACAATTGAAATCCTATAAAACCTCAGATGACGTTAAATAGTAACCCCAAATCAGTTCTTTCAAGAATAATTTTATTATAAATCACACTAAGAGGATTAAGGATGGCTGGACATTTCTGTAAAATGGTAGCCCCCACAACAGACATAGAATAGAATTCTTTATTGGCCAAGTGTGACTGGGCACACAAGGAATTTGTCTTTGGTGCATACGCTCTTGGTGTACATAAAAGAAAATATACATTCATCAAGAATCATAAGGTACAACACTTAATGATAGTCATAGGGAAACAGTCAATATAAATCTTAAGGATACCAGCAACAAGATTACAGTCATACAGTCATAAGTGGGAGGACATGGGTGATAGGAATGATGAGAAGATTAACAGTAGTCCACAAATGGTTGCCAAGTGTTCCAAAAAACATTTTCTTTGTATTTGTGGACTTTGCACTTGGGAGATTGGATGAATCGGCACCAGTACCTTATCAAAGAGATTTCTGGAAGAATTGAAGACTTTAATTTCCTAAAACTTCCTTTCCATTTGTATAGCACGTTGGGGGAAAAAATTTTTTTCTTTCCTTACTATTGATTTTTGTATTGTTTTTCTTTCTTTCTGTTATTCTTTAACAATAAAAATATAATAATTTTTTTTTAAAAAAAAGATTAATAGTAGTGCAGACTTAATAACTAGTTTGACGGTGTTGAGGGAATTATTTGTTTAGCAGAGTGATAGCATTCGGGGAAAACTGTCCTTGTGTCTAGTTGTTCTGATGTGCAGTGCTCCATAATGTCGTTTTGAGGGTAGGAGTTGAAACAGTTTATGTCCAGGATGTGAGGGGTCTGTTAATATTTTCACACTCCTCACATCCTGGACAAGTTTTGCCTTTCTTGCCTGAGTTGTTAAGTGAATCACTGCAGTTTACAAGTTAGTAACCCAGTGTTAGGTTCCGGATTTCCCCGGTAAAATAAGGCTCCAAACCAAAAATTATCTGTGTTTTAGAAATCTTTATCCTCGGCTCCGGCACGAACCAACAAACACCCCTGGAGAATGAATTATTGTCAGCACTATTGTGCAATGCTTCCCATCACCTTTTAAACCTACCTGCCAACCTGGTGATTCCACCCCATAGTCCCACCCCAATGCTAGCTACGTTTCGTCATCATGGATATGGTACACAAAGCTCCACCCCTCCAGCTCATTGAGGCACCAAGGAATAGTCTTTGAAAATAAAATCCCTGTAGTTACTTATGGGTCCGCCTCTCAGCTGTTCAGCGGCAACAGCGTTGGTGCTGCTGTAATGGCGGTTCCCTCAGCGGCAGCGATCCTATCCAAGGCTTCCGCATTACAGTGGCTACGGTGGAAATGGCGAGCAGGGTGGAATCAGCAACGGCACGCACTCTGGACATGATGACTGGTAAGTGGGGTTTTCCCTCCCCCTCCCACCTGCATGACAACTGCGACGTTTTGAGGTTGACACCCGGTTGTTAAGTGAACCTGGCTTCTCCATTGACTTTGCTTGTCGGAAGGCCGCAAAAGGGGATCACATGACCTTGGGACACAGCAACGTTCATAAGTACGAACCAGTTGCCAAGCATCTGAATTCTGATCACATGATCATGGGGATGCTGCAGAGGTTGTAACTATGGAAAACGGTCATAAGTCACTTTTTTCAGTGCCATTATAACTTTGAATGGTCACTAAATGAACTGTTGTACATCGAGGACTACCTGTATATATTTTATGTTATAGGATGTGATATATCTTATAAAAGCAGCAGGCCCTTGATCAACTTGTCACATCACCATTTTTAGCATCACTGCCCCAGATCATCCTGATTTCAGGCATATTCTTGTCATCAGGAAACATAAATAGTGTTTCAGACCAACTTTTCTTTTGGTTTAATTAATTAAAATGAATGCTCTGATTATTTAACATATTAACAAAGGCTGCCTGTACATGAAAAGTAAATTGGCATAGGGAAGGGAGATTGACAATCACATACCAATGGCAAGTTGCATTTAGTTATTGATTACTCTCCCTCCTTCCCCTCCCCTTTCATTTACATACCATCAACATAAAAAACCATTTTGCGTGCAAGCGTTTGATAAATCACATACTTCGTACCCAGTTGGGAACTTGGGAGAGATGAATGACAACATTCCTTCGCCATTTCTCAAAGTTGGCTGGCTTATTAAACTCTGGGATAAATGAATTCTCCCCACCATCCAAAAATGCTAAGGTCAGTTCTGCTGAAGGAGGAAATTTTTTAAAACAAAATTCCTCTGTAAGAGCAATCAGATATTTTCCCCACTTTATATACAAAGAACTGAAATACAAACCTCAAATGGTCACATGGATGAGGACACCATGCTTACTTGTTTTACATCCACCCCACCCAACCTAGGATATTCCTGCTCAGAAGATTAGGAACATAGTATGAACTGAATACTACATGTGTTTTCAAGGTTATTTTTTTTCCATTCCTCTCTCTGATAAATCTGTTTCAGTTCCATCTGTGACGGCATGGCAACTCTCTATGTAAGAGCCAGAGGGATATCTACACAACTTTTTTGTTCTAGTCCTTCCTTTAGACCCATGCCAGTGAAGTACTACTGAAGGCCATTTTGTGCATTCCAACTTATCATAGTTTCTGAACAGAAGGTGTCAATAGAAAATTATTACCATACTCATGGTGAAAGTCTGTAGAGATTCTTAGTTATCCGGGTCATGGTTGTTCCAAAGGTGCTTTTTCAGGAGACAACTGGACTTCCTTGTTTTTTCTTTGAAGACGTTTCACTTCTCATCCCAGAAGCTTCTTCGCTATCCTGTCAGAGCTGAATAAGTTTCTTGGATGAGAAGCGAAACGTCTTCAAAGAAAAAACAAGGAAGTCCAGTTGCCTACTGAAAAATCACATTTGGGACATCCTCATGGTGTATACAGTATTCAGCCCTGTTAATCGAGCTGTATTTCAATTGTCACCTCTTTCTCTTGACAAGATTCTCAACTTCATAACCTACATGTTAGGTAAGTGTTAGGTAAGTATTATTGAAAGAGAGTGGAAAACGATCATACCAAGCCTACAGAATTAAATAGTTAGGAGCCCAATGTCTCCCAGAAATTCAACCGGAGATCCCATCACATATATGTTTAGTTTGCTCACTGCAAGGCTTGTTAAGAACTTAATTCTGAGTAATTCTGACTGCTTCTTTTTTCAGTGAGAGTAACCTCTCCCTTGCCTGAATACTAAGGGACTCTAAATCCTTCTGTTTGGGTGATTGTAAGCCACCTAGAGTTGCTGTGAGTGAGTAGGCGGCTATATAAACTTTTGAAATAAATGAATAAGTAAAATAAATAAATAAATTTTCAAGTGTTTGGGGGAATTGTTTTCACTGTAAACACTTAAAATCATTTTTGTTATATCCCATCAGTTCATGAGTCATGAAAACAATAAGAATATTTAATCATAAATGCACTTGCAGATTTTAGTAATCACTCCATAAATAACAGAGGAAGCATGCAATTTTTTCAGTACTTAATCTTCTGTACTTTTTCTAACTGTATGGTTATTACTCTAACAGTAGTCTTGTTTTTTTCCCCTCATTCTAAATTATAATTATTTGCCCTCCCGTGATGCTTAAAAGCTCAAAGAAGTTGAGGTAGAATTAATGGATTATAGAAAATGAATGAATTGTGACTTTTCAAATGTATTTGCTGGTTACAATTAGTTTGTGTTGCATTAGACACAGCGTTAGTTCAACTTAACAGAAATGATTTTAATCATTTTTACTTTATTTTTATCCTATTTTTATTATTATTATTATTATTATTATTATTATTATTATAATATAAAAGAGGTCAAACATATCTAATATTCTTTCCTTGTCTTATTTTCCTCAGAACAACAATCCTCTGAGATAGGTTTGGCTGGGAGAAAGTGACTGGCCCCAAAGTCACCCAGCCAGCTTTCAAAAGTGGGACTTGTACTTCTAGTTTTCTGTTTTTTAGCCTGGTGCCTCAATTTCTTAACTAAATTTGACTACGAAAACAGGAGTCAAATTTTAAGCAGTAAATTAATTGTGTCATAATTTCCCCCCCATTGTCTAACCTTATGTCCGGTTTTAGCTTCAAAGCATCTATTACTGAATCACTAAATTTCCCCTAGGTATTTCATAATGGTGGCCTTTACCTCATTTAATTAATCAAATCAAATTAATAATGTATCAATATTAAGTCTAAGCTTGTTGGCTAAATCCATCACGTGAACAGCTACAGTGCTAATCCCATTTTGCATAATCTTATTTATTTGTGGGATATGGGAAAGGGTTATTCGTAGAGGCTTTGCCCAGAAGATACTAATGTATCAGGAACAAGAGTTGAAAAAACATAGGAAGACTCTCTTGTTCTCCCTGTCTCTCCTTCTTATTTAGCTTCCATTCGATCAACTGGTTGCTCTTTCAAAATCGATAGGCAGCAAATAGAGATGTGATATATTTAGAATAATCATCAATATTGCTCTATATTTCCAAAGAGAACAAACTCGAAAATATAGTTTCCTAATATTGGCAAATATAGCAAAAAAAAAAAAATTATTTCACCTTGACAATTTTTTTTTAATGCTCAGTAGCAGTTTCTTACTGCAATGAAAGGGCTTAAATTTATGATAGGATATAAGGGGGAGGAGGAGGGGGGGAAGGATGGCCTTTCATCAGCTTGGAAATTCTAATGCCTTTATGACTTCATTCCTGCAGGCTAAACTGTCAGTTACTGTCAGTTAACAGTTATAAGAGTGAGGGACTTCAAAAAGGTGTCTGGGCTTCAGCAGGGCTCCTGGACTCTAGGAAACTTTCATTTTTATAGCCAGCTATCAGAGAATAAGGATGAGGATTAGAGTTAGATAAAGAGTGAAAGTTTAGTTTTAGAGTGAGGGTTAATTTAGGATAGGTTTTGAGTGATGGTAGAGGTTAGGACTAGGGAGGGAAGCAAAGAGTGAGTAAGGGAGATAGAGAGGAGAGGCAGATAGAAAGTGGAAGAAGGATTGGGAGGGGGAGGGGGCTAGAGAGGATGGGGGAGATGGACTGTGGGTACAGGGGGAGGGGGAGAGGGGAGGCGGATGGTGATGGAAATGGAGGCCTTAAGAAAGGAAAGAGATAGGGAGGGGAAGGAGAAGGAGAAGAGGGAGGGCAGGTGGAATGGGGAGAGGGATGATATATATGGTGGAGGAGGGACTTGAGGGTAGGGGTCTGAAATTAGGAGGGAATTGAGGAAAGGGGAAGGGAAAAAAGAGAAGAGATGGGAAGGCAAGGGTTTGTGTGTCCTAGGGGGAAGGGGAAGGAGGAGAAGGGTTGGAAGGGGGAGGGGGAGGAGAAGGGGAGGGGAGGGGAGGGGGGAGGATGGCCTTTCATCAGCTTGGGAATTCTAATGCCTTTATGATTTCATCCCTGCAGGCTAAACTGTCAGTTACTATCAGTTATCAGTTATAAGAGTGAGGGACTTCAAGAAGATGGTCTTCATCAGGGCTCCTGGACTCTGGGAAACTTATATAGCCACCTATCAGAGTGTAAGTTTAGAATTAGAGTTAGATAAAGAGTGGGGGTAAGGTTTAGTTTTAGTTTTAGAGTGAGGGTTAATTTAGGATGAGGGTGAAGGTTGTGGTTAGATTTAGATTTTGGGTGAGGGTGAGGATGGGGACTAGGGAGGGGAGGCAGAGAGTGAGTAAGGGAGATAGACGGGGAGGTGGATAGAAAGTGGGAGCAGAACTGGGAGTGGATGAGGGGGATGGGGATAGAGAGGATAGGAGGAGATGGACTGTGGGTACAGGGAAAGAGAGGGAGGGGAGGGGCAGGGAGATGGAGGAATTAAAAATGGAGAACCATAGGGAGAGGAAGGAGAGAAGAGAAGAGGGAGGGGGAATGGAAAGAGGAATGATATTGAGTATATGTTGGAAGAGTGAATTGAGGGTAGGGGACTTAAATTAGGAGGGAAAAGCGGATGGGGCAGACAAGGTGTGTTTGTATGCTAGGTGGAAGGAGAAGGGGAGGGAGAAGAAAACTCAGAAGGGGAGGGGGAGGTGAAAGGATGGCCTTTCATTAACTTGGGGATTTTAATGGCTTTATCACTTCATCCATGGAGATAATTGTCAGTTATGTTCCGTTATCAGTTATCAGAATGAAGATGCTTTCAAAGAGGCATGTTTGTCTGGAGGTTCTAGCAGGGAAGCTCAGCTATCGTATACTCTTGACCCATGACCAAAGATCGCTATACTCCTATCTGGAATAGGGAATGAAGTGGAGGGAGAGAGGGGACACCCACCTAGCCAGCAAGATCAGCAGAATAAGCCCTGACAATCAATGGGATGAAAGATGTTGCAGCCATATTGGAAGATGATGGGGAAGGAGTGGAGAGGGGAAGGCAAGGGAGTGGGACAATGGTCAGAATGAAGATCCCTTCCAAGTGGCATGTTTGTCTGGAGGTTCTACCAGAGGAGCACAGCTATCGTATACCCTTGACCCTTGACCGAAGATCGCTATACTCCTACCTGGGATGGACTCTTCCACTGAGCATGCAGCTTTGGAAGAGACAAAAATGGAGCGGTGAGGGAGGATGGGGACGCCCGCCTTAGCCAGCCAGATCAGCCGAATCAACCTGGCAATCAGTGGGGTGACAGATGTTCCAGGGGATGGTGAGGAAGGAGGGGAGAGGGGAAGGGAAGGGAAGGGGACAATGATTGGAATGAAGGGGAGGATGGGGATGGAAGGATGGGGGCTGATGGGGAAGGAGGGGAGAGGGGAAGGGAAGGGAGGGAGGGGGACAATGATCGGAATGAAGGGGAGTATAGGGAGGGGAGGATGGGGGTTGATGGGGAAGGAGGGGAGCAGGGAAGGCAAGGGAGGGGGACAATGATTGAAATGAAGGAGATGATGGGGGAGGGGAGAGGGGAAGGCAAGGGAGGGGGACAATGGTCAGAATGAAGATCCCTTCTAAGTGGCATGTTTGTCTGGAGGTTCTACCAGAGGAGCGCAGCTATCGTATACCCTTAACCGTTGACCGAAGATCACTATACTCCTATCTGGGATGGACTCTTCCACTAAGATGCAGCTTTGGAAGGGATAAAAAATGGAGTGGTGATGGAGGAAGGGGACACCGCCTTAGCCAGCCAGATCAGCCGAATCAACCTGGCAATCAATGGGGTGACAGATGTTGCAGCCATATTGGGGGATGATGGGGAAGGAGGGGAGGGGGGAAGGAGAGGGGGGAGAAGGGGGAGGAGGAAGAAAAGAGGGATGGAAAGGGAAGGGGAGAGAGAGAGAGAGGGGAGATGGATGGGGATGGGGTGGAGGAGAAGAAGTGAGGGGAGGAGAAGGGTGAAGCCAGATTGGAGAATGACGAGGAAGAAGGGGAGAGGGAAGGGAAGAGGGAGAGTGAGGGGGGAGGAGGTTGCCTTAGTCTTGCCTTGAACCTGCTGGAATCGTGTCGCCTTCTTCACGCCTTGAATCCATTGAAGTCAAGTTGCCTTTGCCATACCTTGGACCTGCTGGAGTCATGTCATCTTCATCCTGGTGGAGTCGTGTCTCTTTCATCGTGCCTTGAACCTGCTGGAGTCATGTCACCTTGTTGTGCCTTGAACCCATTGAAACCACATTTGCCAGGAGGAACAACTACAGGATCGGTTGTGTGAAATAAACTCACTTACTCAACCCATACTGTGTTTGTGTGTGTTTGTGTGTGTGGACTGGGACAGAAAGATTCCTGGGCACTCTGATTCCTTCTCAGTCACCATTTCATCAGTAGATGTCCCTTGTCAGCTGTGGCCTGACAAGTGGCAGCTAGTTAACAAAACATCCCTCTGGAATATTGCACTGGAGGTATGAGAGATTCAAATTGGAGAAGATGTGTCCGCTCCTTTCCAGATGGCAGGACAGGGGAACAGGAATATGGAGGAAAAGACGCAGCACTGTTGAAGAAGAGATTCTTAATCCAGAAGAGAGGGGGAAGGAGGAAGTTCAGAGCACCTGCCTATTAATTATGCCAGGGAGAATTATATGAATGGACCTGGTGTGCGAGGCCTGTCTGCAACTGTCTGAAGGTAAGTAGTAGGGCAGCTCCACCCCCTCATCCCCACCCTGGTTTAGTTTTTACCTGTGCACCCTGGAGTGGGTGGGGTCTTAATTAGGGCTTATTTTGGGGGTAGGGCTTATATTGGGCGCATGTGTAAAAATCAAGCTAGGACTTACTTTCTGGGTAGGTCATATTTTCAGGGAAACACGGTACTTCCCAGGTGCATTTAAAGACCACTGAAACACTAAGTTTAAGGAGATTGACAGATTTCCCCATTTAAATCAGGGCAGATGCAGAATCTTACCTAGAGTGATCGGTTTCAACTCAGCTCTAAGGAATTTATCTGTCAAAGTCTTTTGGTTTTGGTTTACTGGCAAGGTCAGATAATTATCAACATCCAATCAGATGACACTAGTGTGAAAACTGGCGAGGTATTTGATTGACTTCAGCAAAACACTGCTTTCATTATTATTAATTCAGGGAATTAAGAAATCTCAAAGAAGTTACAAAAGGAAATTAATAAATACTCAAAATTACTAATCACATACAAGCTTAACAGCCCCTGTCCAAAGGACAGGAGATGACACATTAATTATAAAGCAAAGCCATAACCAAATGAGAACTCAGGAAGGATCTATTCGGAAAGAATTGAAGTAACTTTTAGACCTATTTAGAAAGGTTTAACATATATTCTTAAGAAACCATAGTTATGAGACAATATGGTTGATCCACTGCAAAGGAATCTTGGCCATATACAACAATACAGAAATTACACCAAGCACAGGATCAGACAGATTTGCAATGAATAGAGTTGGTTCTAAAACAAACATAGAATTGCAAGTAGATGCTCTGCTTTTTCCCTAGCAGTTGTAGCCCCGGCTTCCCAACCTAAGCATTGTGCCAGGTTTTAACTATGAGTGATCCGTAAACAACTGTGTACTATCACTCTTCTACATGGTAGATTTTTTTTTTTAACTCAATGCCCACCCAATTTCAGGGGTGATTCACTGGGCCAAGGCCAGAGCAAGCAAAGAAAGGGCTGGAACAAAATAGTTGTTTCTCTGTGTCTTTCTTAAAGACATTCTTTCTCACATAGTCTTTCTCCAGAGAGCAGATAGTCCCGTGATGACGCAGTCGCACCTATGGCACGTGTGCCAGGGGTGGGTTCTACTTACCTTTACTACCAGTTCGCAGTGGGGCTGCGCACGCTCTTCTGCGCATGCGCAGAAGTGTTTTGATGACGTCGGGGTCGGTGGGCGGGGCCTCCCGCCAGTTTTACTACCGGTTCTATAGAATTGGTGCGAACCGGGGGCAACCCACCACTGACGCATGCCCAAAGTGGTACTCGAAGCCATGTCGCCTGGCACACGCGGCCTTGCCTGTTTGTCTTCCGGGTTTTTGGTGTGCATGTGCGCACGATCATCAGCTGTCCTTCATGTGCACGACAGTGCTGAAAACCGGTGTGTGCATGCAAGCCGGCCAGCTGATTGTCAGGTGCGCATGCATGCAGAATCCGGAAGTTTGGCTTTTCCGGAGCATGATTCCTTCGCATGTGCAGCAGTGCCAAAAACCGCCCTGCACACGTGTTCCAGCCAGCTGATCGTTGGGCGTGCATGCATGCTAGAACCCATTAGTTCAGCTTTTCTGGAATGTGGCCCTGATGAGCGCGCGCACACAACGTTTCTGCATGACATTTCACTGAGATAGTCCCAAAGGTACTATTTCTAAAAAGGCAACTGGACTGCCCAGGTGCCTTTTGGAAATAATACTTTTGGGACAACCATGATCTGGAGGATAGAGAATTTCCATGGATGGAGAGAAAATGCTACATTTCCAAAAAGCATGGACTGATTTTATCTCATTTGGAAGATTTAGAAAACAGATCATGGGAAATGTCTATGGAGATTCTCAGTCATCCAAGTCATGATTGTCCGAAAGATGCTTTTTCAAGAGGCAACTGGACTTTCTGGTTTTACTTTGAAAACGTTTTGCTTCTCATCCATGAAGCTTCAAAGCCTAACAACCTTCTTGGATGAGAAGCGAAACGTCTTCAAAGAAAAACCAAAAAGTCCAGTTGCCTCTTTAAAAAGCACCTTTAAGATTATAGGAAATTGTTTCTTGAAGTCACAGCAGATCCATTCTTGATATAACTCTAAATATCAAAGACTGGGATCACCATCTCTCTTGAGATAAGGAGTGCCCCCAAACTCTTGAGTTTAAGTAAATTTTTTATGTTCAAGATTTTGGGTACCTTAAAGGTACAGTAAGCCATCTTGACTCCTTTGGGAAATAAGCAATCCATGAATAATTGTTGCTGCTGCTGCTCAGTTGCTAAGTCGTGCCTGATTCTTCACAATCCTATGGACTTTATGAATAATTGTATGTGTATAAATAAATTATAAATAAAGAGGGGATGCGGTGGCTCAGTGGCTAAGATGCTGAGCTTGCCGATCGAAAGGTCAGCAGTTCAGCAGTTCGAATCCCTAGTGCCGCATAATGGAGTGAGTTCCCATTACTTGTCCCAGCATCTGCCAACCTAGCAGTTTGAAAGCATGTAAAAAATGCAAGTAGAAAAATAGGGACCACCTTTGGTGGGGAGGTAATAGCGTTCCGTGCGCCTTTGACATTTAGTCATGCCGGCCACATGACCACGGAGACGACTTTGGACAGCACTGGCTCTTCGGCTTTGAAACAGAGATGAGCACCACCTCCCTAGATTCGGGAACGACTAGCACATATATGCGAGGGGAACCTTTACCTTTATAAATAAATGAACACTGCCGTTTCCCTCCCTATTGCAAGGCAGTCCTGTGATGATGAATGTAAAGTTTAATTCTATGAAAGTGTAGCTAGCTTAAAGGGCAGAAATAAATGCCTTGTCCTTGAGAAAGCCACAACAATGGTAGTATGTCCTTCTGGACATTGGACAATGGATTTCACCATTGCATCCAAATATTTTGCTTCGACTCTAAAGATGACAACCTGACAAATCTGACTACCCTGCCCTAACTTTAAAAATATAATTAACACATGTAGTTTTATGGTCTGCAAGTGGAGAGCAATCCTGTCAGGGACTTGTGTAGCCGGTGTTCAAACAGAATTAGAGACACTGACAAGAACCAGTTTTATATCAATAAATATATTTACAGTAAATAAAATAGGCAAATAGGAGCATTGTCAGGTAAATGAACACAGCAGGAACATCACCATCATCAGGTAAATCGTACAGAGCACACAAGGCACAGAGGAAAAAAAGGTGGGAAACAAGGAAACTCTGCCTTTACTCACAACAGCCAATCACAGCTCAGATTCCTTTATGTATGGCCAACTCTCTTTAACCAATTAGCTGTAACTATGTGTTGTTACTCATTGTCCAACCCCTCACTGCTCCAGCTATT